GCGGCTATCCGTGTATGTCCACGCCTGAGTGTATGCCTCTCCATATATGTTGTCCCACTATGTCGTAGAGGTGGCGATCGGGAAGCTGTACAACGTCTCGGTCAAAGTGGCTGTCGAGTAGGGCCCCGTGTAGGTCGGCGCGATGATCGAGATCGTCTCGGTGGTTGTCGGGGTGTAGAGGACCGGGCACGAGGGGTCAGAGGTAGCCTATCAAGGGGCACTCAGTTCGCCGTGGAGATCTGAGGGACGAGGACGTACTCGGGCCTGTGGCGCTGCAGACACACCGAGGACGGCCAGTCCAGCGAATGCCGTGAGCGCGAGCGCTAGCATATTCACGGTGGGTGATGTAAAGCTACGACGCAGTGTCACAGAGCCATCCTCATGTCTTATGCCTCACGGAAGGCCAGCGCGACTGACCTGGTTCGATGAACTAACGCACGGAGGAGGCAACCATGTATACCGAGATGTATTCAGTCGCGGGAACAATCCACGCGCACTCCCGAAGTGATTTGGGTTGCAAATGGAATGACATGAGAGATATGCTCCCAGTCTAGCAAATACGTATGAGTTGCCCGGACACAGGTCAACAGACTATGAATCAGGGGACACTGCATACCTCGGCACGACGCTCAGTCGTAGGATTCAACGAAGGTGAGAGCCAGCTCACGCCTGTTCGTAACAGTAAGTCAACGCAGCATAGCCGCGCACCTAGACTCTGACGAGCACAAATGCTATGCAATCCATTCTCCAGCTCACGCGTAGCTGGACTGCAAAACCACAGAAGCATTGGCTTGCACACCTGCCTATGAAATAGTGCACTGACTCTGAATTGGCGAGCAAATCGCCGACGCAACGTGCTATCAACTGTCAGATACCAGTATCGCCACAAAAACGCACTCGTGAGATTCAACGCCGTAATTTCAAGAGAGTGCCGCAGATTAGAGGTATCCTGACCTTGTGCACATCCGATGTGGGGTTATATGCGAACAGACGCCACCCGAGCGAACGGAGCAGTTGATGATGGCTCCCTTCTTCATAAGTGATCACTGTGTCAGCCCACAAATGAGAAAGCCACATACAGGAAGCGATGAGACCGTAACTCGTTGCTGTTCAGCTGCTCGCCAGCTGGCATGTGGAGGTGACTTGAAGGGGTCCGGACTCCGAGTTAGCGACCTGATGGTGTTATGGACGGGTTTACCCTATAAGCACCGGCATCGCGGAACCCTTGCGTTGTAGCGATGATATGTAGGTGAATAGAGCCTAGTGTCGGTACTTGAGTCGCGGTAAGTATTGGAGAGGTAACATGGTGCACGTGGAGGGCTCACTTGAACGGTGTGTGTGACTACCAAATGAGTGAGGTGTCACCGAGGGATGACCGTGATGGATTGTCACGGACGCGCTTGTGGCGAATGTGGCGAATGTGGCGCACAAGTTCAATTTACGACGCCGACTTACTTGGATCCACCGGCTCACAACTTTGCGAACAAACTGCCCACGAACGCTGCTAGAATCTCGTGACTCGTTGCACCTTATATCTGGCCCTTACCGCTTGGAAGAAGCAGTCGATAGCCCGGCGGGCCTTTACATAGCTTCGCCCGCGACGCGCGTGTGACGTGCGCTCGGCGACATCAGCTAGTCCAGATCTGACCCCTGAGCCGTATGGCCGTCGCAGATACCTCAGTCTGCTAGCCTCGAGCGACGGTGAGTGCTCTGTTCTTTCTATTCTGCGGCCTAATTCACTAACTTTCCATGCTCGTAAGTGTACTATTGTGGCTGGGAGGGCCTCACGTGCGTCCCAGTCAGAGCCGGGAGTCCAGAGTGGATCGTGAAGAGTCATCACGCAGATTCTGAGAGATAAGAACGCCAAGATCAGCCATCCTTGTCATCGTCTTCCAACGAAGCAGCGCTGTCGGCCCGTGTCGCAGAAAACAAGGCCGTCGCGATGCGCGGAGAACCCATGATGATAGAGGGCACCGCCCACAGCGTGGTCCGTGCTTCTAGTAGGGCTTTGATTATCGATAAGGCAGCGAGAACAAACAGCTACCCAAATCGATCACAAGGGCTGAGCCCGAAATGGCGGACAATAGGTGCGGCTGACTGTTTGTCAGGACCAAATATGGACCCACACGGAGGCGTATAAGGACCCGAGGTGAACGCCACTTCGTCCCCATTCCCTCTTGCCCTCCGACCACCATGTCGGACGCGCCTCCAGTTTTCCACCACCCGCCACTCGGCCTTCGCACGTAGTCGCATTCCGTGGATGGGGGAAGTCGGCCTTGACTACGATGCGCCACACCCTGGCTTTGGGGCCGGCCCGGGGTCCAGAGCACCGGCAGCCTAGGTACGTTTACTTATCGATGCGCAAAGCACTTACTAACGTATTCTGCACTCTCCTGCCTTTTTCCCACCTGCCATTTGCGCGACGCCACACATCTCCGTGCGACCGCCTCTCAGACGAGCGAACACGTCTCTTGGTGCGTGCCAGTGGCTGTCCTAGGTGTCGACAACAAAGTAAGTCAATGTTGAATCTTGTCATGCAATCACGACTGACCGCGATGATAGATAGCGTCCATCAAGACGACGAGTGCATCTGTGTGCGCCAAGACTTCCATCAATATGTGTGCCTCAAGACTATGCGACTTATGACCAACCTATGCAACAACAAATCCCTTACGGGTTCAACGAATTATGCCAGACGACGGCCCAAAGTCCCGCAAGGGCACACCCGTACGTTGCACAATTGGTGATGGGACCGTCCAGTCTACCGTCGTCCGCACGATAGCGGCGACGTAGGCCCGGCTACTCGCGTCGTCGGTAGCTGGAAGCAGCTGTACTGCAGACGTGCACCAAGGGTCAGGAGTGTCGCGAATACGCGCCTCCGCAGGGACACGGTGCACGGACTCTGTACGGGGACCGTTCCGCCGTTGACTGGTCCGAGACCCGACGCGTCGTCGGTAGACCACGAGGCTAGCCAGTTGTGGCGTGCGGGTGGGACGACGTGGCCTAACGTAAGTGCTCAACGTCGTCTCTGACTTCCAGCTCGACTCACCGTCATTGTAGGCCACGTCTCGACGTCGAGGATCCAATTGGTCCGCGGCGAGCGCATCCAAATCCTCTACCGCCTATCGGGCACAAACCACCCCTGGTATGTCGTATTTGCGCGAACGGGTCCAGCCTCCGGTTTGAGGTGGTTCATGCTCTGGCATGGGCTTCCGGAGGCACCGTACCGACGACGCCGTGCATCAGCGGAGACGGGGCGTTACGCCCACTGTCAACGAGATTATGCCGGGTCATTATGTCGAACATGTACGGGGACGTCTTCGCCGCCGGTGCACGCCCGCTTCGTCGGACTACCGTTGCTGGCTAGCGCACGACCATACTGGGGAGGGGCGTCGCTCATCAAATCAGGTGAGCGGCGCTCCTGGCGAGGGTGCAATGTGAGTCTTTGTCGCGGAGAGGTCGTAGACGATTGCTAATTTTGGTCTCGCAGGATCGCCCGAGCGAAAACTCCGGAATTCCGGATCCAAATCCTCGATCGCCCCAATCGGGCGGAAGACATCCCTGGTACGTCGTTTGTGTGCGAAAGGGTCCAGCCTCTGGCGCGAGGTGGCCTGCCCATGCGGCGGGCTGCCGGAGGCACCGTACCGCCGACGTAGAGCACCGATGGCAGCATGGCAGACAGATTGCCTGCAGTCGGCCAGCCCGTCATCATGGTACGGGGATGTCCCCGCCGTCAGTGCACGCTCGCATCGTCGGGCTACTGCATCGTGCTAGCGCACAAACGTACCAGGAAGAGGGGCGTCGCTGCAAAAGACAGAAAAAAATAACATGAGCGGCGCCCCTGGCAAGGGTGCAACGTAAGTGCTCGTCATGATCATCGCAGAGTGTCTCTGACGTTGTCGCAGGAACACCCGAGCCAAACCTCAAGCTGTAGATACGTTCATCATAACTTATACATCTCACCGCTACTCCCCTCCGACATTCGTGCCCCAGACGGGCTGTCACTCGAGCTCGCCGACAATGCGAGCGATCCGCCGTCGGAGGTTCCGGGTCCTCTCGAGCGTCCGGCGGCCCGGGGGTTTTTAGTGGGTATAGCAAGCGGACCAGAGCACCACCAACATCTCGACGACGACACATTGGTGCGATGACGGTCTTGAGTCCTACACTGTTCTCTCTCGCGAGAGTTCGTGCGTAATTGCATTTTCCCCCGGGAGGAAACGAGCGTCGCCTCGTTGTAGCCTGGTATCGGGCCCTCCTACCAAAAAAAAAAAGAAAGCGCGTGAGCGCATCAAGGTCCTTCTCTGACACTACAGGTGAGCATTCGTTCGCTTGCTTACGGGGCTTGCTAAGGATATGTAATGTCAGTCTGACTATCGCAAATGACGTCCCGCGTCCATAGACGAATACTCGGAGCGTGGTCTACCGCGTGGTGTTCTCCTGTCTTTGTTTGGAGTGTCGCCTGCTTACCTGTGTTGCCCAGATGGCCGCCGCTGACCTTTGTGGAGTGTTGCAGTCTCCTGGGTGGAGCCAGCTGGCATATGGACGTGTGACAACAGCGTCCCACCGGTTCTTCTGTGGCCGAGCGCTGTTTGTAGCCACCCAGAGGCCAGAACAGTGCGTGTATTACGTGGTCTTCGTGCATCCAATCTGTCTGATGCTACGATAAGCATTCCGCTCTGCACTCTGATACTTAGCTTACTATTGTATGTGTGTCCAATCATACTGTGTCACTTTCGGGAGATATTATTGTTACGATGATATGCGTGTCGGCGCCCGTCGATGATCGCTGTGTTCTTGCAATCTGTTCAAGGTGAAGCATGCCTCCGAGTCAGCGTATATCACTAAATCTGACGTCCATCTATTGCTCTCAGAGACACGAACAGAAGCCTTGCTATCGCATGCCCATCGCTCGCTACAGATTCAGTACTCGGGTCATGTTGGGTCAACCGGGCAGACCAATAGTGCATCTCGAGCGTCATATCGTAGGCACTGTGTGGTTGACTGAAGTGGACCAGTGGTCGGAGAGGTCTTGTATAATGATGATTGAGACTTGTCCATCACTGTCAAGTGGTCGCATCCTGTCGTCGTGCGTTGTTGTCCCTGTTTACCCAATGAGTCGTAGCTGACTATCCTGTCAGGTAGTCAGGTTCTGGCCTACTTAAGCTATCAGGCCGACGACTCCCTGCAGCCCAACCAAGGCTAAGCGTTCCCTTCTCATTGAACTCGGTAGAAGGCGATGTCTGTAACTTCCACGGATGTGCTGCTTCGACAGTAAGACCCTCTCAGTCTACGCCGTTGTTGCGCCCCGCTTATCGGCTTTGTCGTCGTCTCTTTGAAGCGATCAATCAGACATTGTCTACAATCGTCTAGTCATTGCCGGAGCAGGTACGTATCGCGTACAGAAGGCATGTTGGGCACTAATGAGTTCCTTATAACTACTTGGAGCTGTCTATGCCTATGATCGAGTACTCACTGCCGGCAGAGAAGTCGAGCTGATATGGCGTCAAGGGAGGATTGGCATCGCCGTACCTATCCTCCTTGGCTGTATGCACTTCTCCACGATCTTCCTGCTGGTGCTTGGCATCGATTTCATGACGCCTCCCCAGTCGTGTAGGGTAAGTACCAGTACGCGCTCTCTCGGAAGCTGATGAAATGACTCCACGGGTTTGTCTTTGAAGAGGTGAGCTCTGCTTAGTTCGATGCGAGGCATACCACAATTTGTCATATTCTGGATGACTTACTAATTTGCTGCAGCTTCTATATTTTGTATTTCGTCGCAGCCATCAATGCCTGTTTTCTGTATCTCGTTTGCGGAGGTAAACAACTGCACTTCGTTCAATCTCAGTAGCAGCTCATCAGCATCATCAAGCCGCTTCGGCGTTGCGAACGTTCGCAGTCAACGGCAGGAAGTACACACTACCTTCTCTGGTCCTCATCCTCTCCGCTGTCCCTGTTGTGGCAAACATAGTAAGCACGTAACACGCTTCCAAAATTGTTAATTTAAACTGAAATTGGTGGACAAGGTCAATATATCGACTGTAACTTTGGTTCTCGTCCCTCCTCCGACAAAGTGCACGGTCAACTGGAGCATTGGAACGCCTGCGATGCGCAAGTATGTTTGATCCTCTAGTGCATGACTTTAGATGCTGACCATGCCCATGCAGCAGTACGTTCTTCGTCGGGTCTCCGTGGCATTGCGGCGATACGGCTTATCGACCATCACTACTTCTTAGTTGAGATTGCCACGCGCGTCAGCGCTATGACAGTCGATGCCATGGTGCTTTTGGCGATGTGGCAGACTATTGGTGGGTTCAGGAAACTTGCAGAAGGGCTTCGCGCCAACGTCTCCCTGACGAGGCGCCTCCTTCGGGATGGTGCGTACAAAACAGCCTCTTGTCGATGCAACAGCGGCTGAACACCACGATATCTACAAGGTACCCTATACTTTTTGTATGTTCCATCCCCGCAAGGCCTCGTGCGCCGTGCTGATAAAAACCTGTCTTCTAATCTGCAGTGTACTCTTACTCATGAACGCCATCGTCCTCGCACTGTACATCCTGCCTGTACGTCTTCGCCGATATCGACGCCGTCTGCAGGCTGCCCTACTCAGCCACTGACACTTGCATAGACGGACTTCGCGGGCAAAAACATGGCGTCGCTCCCGGACATGTACGTCCTCCGAACCGTCTCTGTCGCAGCGCGTTCTTCAAGTTTTCCTGAGCACGACTGACGTTCTGCCACAGCGCGACGAGCGTTATTCTCTCCCGTTTGTTTCTCAACCTGCGCGAGGCCGTAATCAGCTCGCCGACGTCTCAAAACACATCCGAGTCCCCGAGTCAGCTGTCCGACCTGCATTTCTCACGCGTCCTCGGGGCTCTCGGAAGCTCTGCCACGGACGGATGCGGTGCAGAGGACTCGGGCGTCTTTGGGGAACCGGCCGAAGCAGATGCCAACGAAGATGAACTTGTCACTGAAGATGACGCAGAGGCCATGGAGTTGAGAGTGGTTCTTCCGTCGAGCAGCAATGGCCCTCCGGGGGCCGTCGCGTCGTCGCAGAGCGGACGTGGGGCTTCCTCGGGCGAAAATCAGCTATTCGCGCTCCTAGAAAGAATTGCCTAGACAGGATAGTCGCGCATCGGTTTGGACAGTGGCGAAGGCTGGTCTTCGCGCGTTATTTAAGTAAGCTACGATACTAGATACCATATTCAGATGTTCAGAGCACATTTATAGACGACACTAGTAATACGACTGGCCTCGTATTTCAGAGCTCTTCAGTGTCGGCCGAATAAGGGTCTGTGAGCAGACTGTAACAGGACATCTCCGCCGCAGTGACCGTCAGACGCGTCCTCCCGGAGCGCGCAGAACGGAGCATGTGCATCGATAGAGAAAGTCACTGCGTGGAACCAAACAGACATGCCTTTAGTGTCGATAATTGCGGTATGCTATGTGCCTCATATAAACCTCAGGGACTGCACGGGTGGTTCAGGACGTGCCATACCACCATCTTACGTACTCTCGCGTTGTAGCGCTCACAGTCCGTTCGTAAGCGAAGGTGTACCACCTCGGGTCGAGTCCAGTGTGCTAACTTACAAGAAAGCCGAAGCTACGATATTACGAGTCATGTAAGTACTACAGTCTACCAGTCCACGCCTCGCGCGCATCAGAACACATACATATAGCACACCCTCTGCTCCTCTTCCCCATCACGATCCCCCGACCTACCCGCCACGCATCACTCATGAACTTCAAGGGCCTCTTCCGGCGTAGGCCACTCCTTGCTCGCGCGCTCCGCGACCGGGCTCTCCGCCTCCGCCTCCTCCTCGTCGCTTCCCTTCTTCCCATTGACGAGCCCGTGCTTCGTCACGTCCGCGTACGAGGTCTCCTCCTGTTCCGGCGGGGGCGCGTTCTCGCCGATGTGCTGCAGCTCCACGTCCTTCCCGCGCTCACCAGGCCTCACGCTCCAGTACCCTGTCGCAGAGCGGTTCTGTGAGCGTCGGGTGTCAAAGGAGAGAGAAGAACGAGACACACCGAGAGCGTCGCCGAACCACGCGCCTAGGACACACGCCCAGGTGCCGAGAAGGAGGAGGGCGAGGAGGAATGGGACGAGCAGAGGCGCGACGAAGGTGAGGAGGTCTTCGGGGTGGTAGAAGTCTTCTTGCGCGGCGATCACGTAGAGCGGCTTCCCCTCCGGGGACGCGTACGGGAGCTCGCGCAGCGTGACGTGCGTGATCAGCCTGTACCGATATCCTCCGTTCAGCACGCTGGTCGGTATCCGAGGAAGGACGAGGGTGCGCACCTGGACTCCGCGGAAGGCATAAACACGTTCCACCGGACGTGGAAGCGCTGCACAATCTCGGCGTATATCTCCTTCCGCGGCTCGTCGTACACGACCTTCTTCACCTGCACGTGCAGGTACGGGCTCAACACGCGGTACCACTGGTACACGCGCAGGATCGTCTCGCGGCTCGAGGAGGTCGCGATGCCGGTCGGTGTGAGCAGGCGAACAACAAAGACAGGGAGCTTGTTCAAGTATGGAAGAGAGAGGGGGTAGGAGTAGTGCACAGGCGAGGCCTGCGAAGGGGGAAAGACGGTGGGGGGCTTGCTGGAGGGGGGTACGGAGCAGAGGGGGTGGCGGAAGGAGGCGTCGGGGGCGAAGTACCTGTAAAGTTAGACAGATAATTGGTGTCTAATCAGCCGTAGGGAGTGAAGTAAAGCAGAGGGATGCGTACCGGTAGATGGCGGCCCTTTGGATCTCCGGGTTGAGTGAAGCGGTGATGGCGAGGATTACATCCTCAATTTCCGCTGCTGGATTTTCCATGTTTCAACTTGATTAAGTTGTCAGAAATGTTACGCTGCGTAAGATACGGGTGTAGGAAGGAGAGTAGACCGAGGCGGAGGCAGGAGGCGGGCGTCGTGAGGAAGGTGAGAACGAGGTGACGTCACGCGTCGCAGCACCGGTGACGCGTATGTAAGCATGTGATTTCCCATACCAGAACCACTCACATTTGAACTGAGAACGGAAAATCGCCACACCATGATAACCTCATCTATGCACTGGGATACGATGACCGGCGTGGCGGATATGACGGTCACGTGTGAAGCGAGGCGTACCAGCAGCCCGCCTCATTATTACTGAGTGAGCTTGGATGGTCAGTTGCAAGAGAGCGAGAGGGGAATGATTGGCGGTGTGGGGCGCAGCCCGCAGGGCTGCCCGACTCGAAGAGTGTGCCTGGACCTGAGGGGCAACGGGTGAGCCGCGAGGGCGGGCGGGTTGATACCGCAGCCCTGCGCTCCCATTGCCACTGCTGGGCCGCAGGGTAGACACGTCGAGCCAAAAACAAACAAAACAAAGACAAAAACAAAACAAAGATATAAAGAAAAAGCACACATTGGGTTTTTGGCGGCGTGTGCTGCGTGAAGAGGGTGGGGAGGGTGGGGAAAACGAGAGCTATTCGAAGGGCGTAGCGGCCGCGGAGCCTTCGAGAGCGGTCGTCCGAGTGGGCGCGCAGAGGAGAGCGATGCGCGCCTAAATCTCCTCCTGCATGCGTAGACTCACTTCTACGCGACGCTCGTGCCTCGCTTCGCTTAGAATACCATCTATGCACTGGGATACGATGACCGGCGTGGCGGATATGACGGTCACGTGTGAAGCGAGGCGTACCAGCAGCCCGCCTCATTATTACTGAGTGAGCTTGGATGGTCAGTTGCAAGAGAGCGAGAGGGGAATGATTGGCGGTGTGGGGCGCAGCCCGCAGGGCTGCCCGACTCGAAGAGTGTGCCTGGACCTGAGGGGCAACGGGTGAGCCGCGATACCCAATATGAAGACGTCGAGTACGGCGGCGCGTTGCGGCGAAGCCGTTACCCCCAGTCCAGAAGCCGACGAGCCTCGTCGTACATGCTCTGTGAGTCAGTGTCCAACACTGACGACGCCAATGACCCGTATTGCTGATCAACCGGTTCGCAGAGTCCCGCCGGATGGGCGCCGCGAAGCAAACATCGCTCCGCTGACCCTAGGAGGAGCAGTGCCGCGTCGTGCTCATCGAACCCGGTGTGTCCAGCCTGACTCGTGTGCAGTGGATGACACGAGTTCGTTACGCTCGTGCCGACACGAGCCAGTGCCAGTGTAAGCATGCTGCTGCTGCATGCTCCTGACTCGTGTGCAGTGAATGACACGAGCGTGTTATGCTCGTGCCGACACGAGCCAGTGTAAGCGTGCTGCGTCCAGCCCGACCCGTGTGTGACACTCGCTGGCTATGAGCTCGTGCTGACACGAGCCGGTGTAAGCATACTGCGTCCAGCCTGACCCGGTGTGACACTCGCTGGCTATGAGCTCGTGCTGACGCGAGCCAGTATAAGCCTGCTGCGTCCAGCCTGACTCGTGTGTGACACTCGCTGGCTATGAGCTCGTGCTGACACGAGCCAGTGAAGCATACTGCGTCCAGTGTAAGCATGTTGCCTCCAGCCTGACTCGCGTGTGCATGACACGAGCTAGCGATGCTCGTGCCGACGCGAGCCAGTGTAAGCGTGTTGCGTGCAGCATGAAAGAAACTCAGCGGGTTGGTCCCGCCCGGCGACCAGTGAGCGAGAGCGCTGGTGACGGAGCACTGGGCGGCGGTCGAAGGACTCGGAGTCGGACAGTCCACAATGGCAACCGCTGCTCGCTCAGCTGGATGCTCATGTCGGACAAGCTTGCGAGACAGAGACTACGACTCTGTGTTGACCATCCTCCACGCATTTGTGAGTGGTACAATCATTTGGTCGTTGCTCACATAATCCGGCTCTTCGTCGCCATCGGGATTGATGAGCGAAGGTTGTACCATAGTCCCCTTCCTGTAAGCTACAAGTGGTGTAGTCTTAGTGGAAGAAAACGAGAGCTATTCGAAGGGCGTAGCGGCCGCGGAGCCTTCGAGAGCGGTCGTCCGAGTGGGCGCGCAGAGGAGAGCGATGCGCGCCTAAATCTCCTCCTGCATGCGTAGACTCACTTCTACGCGACGCTCGTGCCTCGCTTCGCTTAGAATACCATTAACATAAGTAGGTGCACAGATAGCACGAATTAGATGCGAATGCGAAGAACAATGCCATGAGCAGCATTAATCGCCGGGTATGCTCGGTGCATACGCACCGTACGAAGGTTGCGCGACCACGTGACCGCATACGTCCAACCAGTGGCAGGACGCGCGCGCCGCGCCTGTAACGCTGAGGTTTACCGGAATCCAGACTCTGATGTATTCAGAAACTCAGAATCCTCGCATACAATGGCTAATAAAGGAAGATTCACTGCGGAGAGCTGCATTATATAACGAATAGCACCGCTCACGAGCTGCTAATTCAATGCTGAGTCCTACTAGTAAGTACTTATCGTAGCGGCGCAAGCGCCGATCCCCGACTCCTGCATGGCACACAGCTACTCAGCCTGCCACAGCGGCACCATAGTATATAATGTATGTATTGTAATATTGTACCATCGGAATGGTATGGAGACTCAATTGGAAGCCCCGCGGCGGCTTCGCCGCCCGGGCGTCTCGGGCTTCCACGACTCAGTATGTATCACAGTACATAAGTATGTAAGTGCAGGCTATCAAAAATGAGGGAAACTTTCCTGCATTTGGGAGGAGTCATTTGATGGTCAGAGATCCAGGCGTCCAGACACAGCCAGATGCACGGAAGGATCCAACTGCCTCGAGCTGCCTCGTAGGACACTCGAGCATTGCTGCGATACCGTTTATGGGAATTCTAAGTCACGTGTTTCCCACGGAGGGAGCGGCATCGCCGGCTGCGAACGACTTATGGTGGACAAAGCCCTCCTCTCTCCCTCCGGTCGGAGTCGGGGACCGAGACGATGGTTCGTGACTAACGCGCAACATCCAACTTGAATATTTGGACCTCTTGAGGCCTTGAGACTGTGAAGGCCAGAACCTGGAGGAGCTGCGGCATCCATTCATCGCCCGGACGGGTGATCATTCTCTTACTGCAGAATAGTTACTTCTTTATCTGGTACCGTGCCTTTCTTTTCAGTCACCGATTGCTCGACTTCCAGCTGTCACGGTACTTCTCGCTCACCACCCTGCGTTTCTCACTCGCCACGCGTCACGTTTCGGTCTCGAACGTCGTTGTCCACCTACATGACTATAATGTGTCATTATCTGTTCCTTTTTCGCTCTCGATGTTCCAGAATTCTTCGCCCACCCCATATGTACTTATAGCGAGCCCGGCTGCTTGTTCCCTTGTCGTACCTTTCCCCTCAACGTCAACCTCCACGCATATTTTC